AGCCGTTGTGAGTCTTGGCCAAGATCTAGTATGTATGTACATATGTGTACATATCTCTCTCTCACTATTCTACTTCCTGAGTTGCTGCAGAACACACGAACTGTCTGCCAGAGAAAAATCTATCTTCAACCAAGTTCTTGTTTAAGTATTAGAAAAAAACTACAAGGATATTCCTTCATTGTGCTATCATATTTCTTTCTACTACCATAACTTACTCATACGCAAACTACACAACCCCAGAGCTGACTCATAGGTGACAGACTCGCCTCACCCACTCCCCATGACCGTAGCTCCTGTTGCTAAACACAGACCAAAAGCCACATCCTCATAAAATTGAACAACTCTTTATCCTCAGATACCAGTGGTCATCCTCAAATTGATGGTGACATTAAATACTCGTGTATCTCACCTCCTCCATTCTCAAACCAGCCTTAAGCTCACTCATTCTACACAACTTAATATTCCTTACATATGCTACAGTACGGCTCCTCTTGTTCCTAAAACAGCTCATCCCCTTCTCCACACACAAATGTGCCCTACACAGCTACTGGCTATAATCCTCCTAACCCTTTGCCTTAGTTTCCAAAACAAATATGTATTCACACAGAAATAAATACGTAGTAAAGGGAAACTTTTGTTTGCATCCCAAAGCAGCAGGGCATCCCATCATAAGCTACAGCATGAATTAGAGTAACCTACCTGCAAATTACATGGCTCGCGTCTCTTATCAGTCCAGTTCCCTGCAGCCGTTTTCCATTGCAGCAACAAGCACAAGAGGATATTCCCCAGCTGCTTGTTCACAAGACCGGCATGCTGGAAACATATTTCAAACCAACAGCTCTTTCACAGGAACATTTTATTGTTATTCTCCTTCCTTTGAATGAAAATATACAAAACTTAAGTGCTTCTTACAATCACAAGTATGGTAACACAACAGAAAAAAAGTGGTTTTTCAACTAGTAATTTTGCTTCTGGTTCTGGTTCAAGGGCCCCAGATTTTGTTGTGCCTAAAAAAAAAAAAAAAAAAAGAGTGCCTACTGGCAGCACAAACTATCCCTGGCCTTGTACACTCCCTCTCGGTCTCCACTGCTGGGTAAGCAAGAGCTGAAGCTCCCCTGTGAAATGACACGGGTCACGATAGCAAAAACTTCCTCCAACCGAAGCAGCTTTACACAGAAATACATGGCAGCCATCTCCTAGTCAGGAACCATTTTGATCAAGTCCTGTGTCTGATTTTGCATATTTCACAAGCACAAGTGAGGCACGGTAGGACCAGAACACATCACAACATGGCATCTCACATGTAGGTTGATGGGACAGACCAGTTAGAGACATGAGAACTGGTAGGCTGATACCCTGACCCACCTTCATTAATGCAATACATCCCACAACACACTAGATCTCCTCTTCGATCCTTATCTTTCAGGGGAGAAAAAAATTAAAATAAGTTCAGTCTTAACTGATTGAAGATCTGAAATAATATTCAAAGCAGCATATTCTACATCTTGATGAACAGACTATGAACCAGGTCTGCAGGTTTGGAACTTGGCTTTCTGGTATGGCTATTTAACTTCTAAAATGAATACTAAAAATAATTAGTTTCATGGAAGAAACTTATTTCGGGATGTTTCCATTATTATCAGAGGCTCATGAATCTTGAATACCAGAGGAAGCCCTAAGAAATTGTTCCATGTTTGAAATCTTTCCAAGACTTGGCATTCAGGTATCAGTTGAAGTATACAGTGAATGTATAGATTACAGATTAATCCCTAATCAGGTATCAAAAACTTTCAATCTACTTTCTTCAAATGATTTTAAAAAACCCAAACAAACCCAAACCAATCCTTCCCCGCCCCTCAAATTCCAAAAGAGCTTTCTATTGTCAATTCTCTGTCCAACATAGAATCCCTACCTTCCATCTCCCACTTTGGATATTGCACATTTGCCCTGTATGGAATTTGCAATGTTGTTCTGCCATAAAAGCTAGAGCCTAATAAAGGTGTGTTTATATATATATTTTTGCATGTGTGTGTGTATATATATATATGCTTATATATATATATAAGCACACCCCTGGAGTTGCCTCCAGTGTAAAGCATAGTAACCTATGACAGTATATAAGAAGCTAAGAAATTTTACATATTTATTACAATGCCTACAGTAGTTATTGCAATAACTAAAGGCGAAAAATCCCTTATCTTTAAGCAACTAGAAACTCTATACTCTAGAAGGAGGTTCAGAGGTGCCTAACTGACAGCTAAGCATTAGGCAGTGCTTTATGCATTACAGCCTGGAAGGTGCTCTATGTCCAGTTATAGATATGCTGCTGAGCTTGTAAGAATTTGAAGACAATCTGTGCATTAAAAAGCATTTCTATACAACACATTCTATTCAAATCGATTATCTTTGGTGTCCCAACAATAAAATTTGATATGGATTAAATTATATATAATACAGCTTAAAATGAATTTGGGCACGCTGGTGATAGTGAAACCAGTTAGTGGTACAGAAAGTTAATCCAGTACTTCCATATCAAAGGATGCCAACATAATTAAGGGTTGACATAAAGGCATCAAACTTAGTTTCCAGTTAAGAACAGACCCCCAAATTAAATGACAAACAGTCTTGTCTTAACATGGTCTTAGGTCTGAAAGCCCTAATACTGACAGTGTTAGCAGCAGTTCAGGTTCAAAGCAATTGAACCTTTTCTGTATTCAGCTGCAAGTTAACTTCATGAACCACTTTCATCAACTGTGTAATTTCTGGAGCTAACACTTCAAAGTTATATACACATGTTAAAGTGAAGCCCAACACTTGTATTTAGACAAGGAATAATTTAAGCAAGGATCAGCAAATCCCTTCAGAGGTCTGATGTATTCTTCCCAAACTGGTTAGGAGGTTCACCATTTGAACTTGATACTCAAGTTCATGATCTTTTTCCTGTTGGAACATAAATCCATCACTACCCCCTTCATTTTCTCATTGAAAGCTGTCTGGCCACCTTATGCTAAGAATCAAATGACAGTGCTAAACCTAAAGCAGGCAAACAAGAATACACAGCATAGTATGTTTTCTTGAAGGGCTGTACATGTTATTCTTTACTCCCCTTGGTCTATCACGTGATTTCAGGCTTTCTTATTTGTCATCTGGTTCCTGTTTCAGTCTCACTTGCCTTTCATTTAGCTTGTGGCCTGCTTTGGTTTACTCCTTCCTCCCTACCAAGCACAACACGAACTCTCAGTTAACTTTCAAAACCACACAGTGATCACAGAATGATGCAAAAGGAATTTTATAGACTTTAAGACCAATAGGGAACATTATGGTCACTCAGCTTGACCTTCTCCATAACACAGAAGAACCCAACCCAGTAATTTCTATATCAAGCCTGCAACTTTAGTTTGACCAGCAGTGCACCTTTAGGAAGGACACTTACAAAGATCTACCAGATCTGTGTGACCACGTACTTCAGTTCTGTCAGTCTTAGTAACAGCAGCAAATGACAGTGAAGAGACAGCTGCCCGCATTTATTCTGATGCCTAACATTAGCAACTACTTGGATGATCAAAATGAACCATTTATCAGCATCTGGATAAACAGAATCCTGATGATCCTAGAATGGGAATTCTCCAGGGACTGTGCAGAAGCAACATCTTGGGGGCTTGGGAGTATATATCAAACGTACAGGAGGCAGAGGAGCTTAACTGAGAGGTATTCTGAAAGAGCCTTTGCTCTTAGCCTGTTTGCTAAGGCTGTTTTAATTCTTACTTCATTGCTCTTTCTATCCCCTGCTATATGATCAAGTTCTGTACAGTCAGGCTGACCATGATACATAGATCTTTACTCTTCATCATGCTACGTCTTTCAAACATTATGCATATTCTTCTGTTAAATACATCCTTATTAGCAACCAGCTCAGAGATTCTCCATTTTCCAGCTCCATCTACCGGTGCCTGGCTGTATCACAGCACAGGGCAGTTCAAACTGCCCAGCTCTGTGGGCACCATGAGTGTAGCATAGAGGACTTCATCGGAGGAAAAAAGGCACCGGTTGTTTCCTTACCTTGAACAAGAGAGTTCTGATTCTTGATGGAAAATAACCACCTATATATCAAATAGAATGGACTTCAAGAATTGAACTAGGGCATCTCACAGGAAGCATCAGATGGGAATTCGCAGATAGGAAATTAACTGAAAGGTAACGTTCTCTCTGCCAGATTGAAACATTTCAGCAAGTATCTGCCTGACGTAATCCATTAAGTTTCAAACGAGATATTTAAGACATTACAATATGCCTTCTACACGCTTGCTTAAGCTGTCAGAAGTTGCAAATACCCACGCATTTTAAACACGTAATTTATACAGCATACAAAGAACAGTTTACTCTTAACAGCTGTCAGTTTTAAAATTTACTGTCAAAGTTTTCTGCATTTATGCATGTGCTTTGACACATAGGCAAGTAAAAATTCTAATTTACATTTTAAAAATGTTTCTTCAGCAGTAAGAGAGCAAGTTCATGGAAGTACCCTAAAAGGCCATTAGTCCTTTGCTCTCATGGCTTGCAGCCTTCCATTCTTCACTCCCTTTGCAAGGCGGCTGCTATTATTGCGCGAGGTAGAGATGCTGCTGGAGAAGGCTGGTGCCAAAGGCAGCCTGCGTCATTTTCTTTCACCATCTGCAATACAGAGAAGGGCAGCGCTCATAAGCAACATGTGATTCTCTTTGAGCACACCGAAGTTACTGCTTCAGCTGAATTGTCTGACCATCGTGACCCAGAACCGTGCCATATTTACAAGGGACTGGATGTGTCCTGTGAACAGCCCATCCCAGAGATAACGGCTGTGGGTTAAAAGCTAAAGCCAGACAATAAAATAACCATCAGGGCTTTTAGCAGCCAAAGCCTCAAGCCAAGGCTCAGAAAACAGAAGAAAACGACACTGACCAGAGAGCGCTGGCTGCCCAGCCAGCAGCAGCGACCGCCCACCTGAAGTACCCTGTTCCAGCATGGTGGTGAAGGGGCAATCCCAAGTGCCAGAGCACCTCTGCTCAGGTGCGAGAGTTGCTAACCAGACAGACACACAGGCCCTGGCCGAGAAGGTGTCTCCTGGGTCAGCCCTCAGCCAACTCCATGCTGTGAGGCCTGGGCACTAGACATGCTTTGGTTTCTACTAACTCTATCACTCGCTAACAACAGCTATCAGGTGCTTCCTGAGACACTTAGCCTTGGACTATGTGTCAAATTTTTTAGGCACTGCACTAGTTCTGTGGTTCTGGGTAACACCTTACAGTCCCATCAGAGTAGGACAAGACACTTCCTCCTCCTTCAGTAAGCCCATTAGTTGATAACACAGTGATGTGCTCCGAGTGCCCGAAAGCTGTCTGTCTGCACGCCAGAAGAGAGGAGCCAATCACCCCAAGGAACCAAGCACTACCAAGTCCTGCATTTCACAGCAACCCCTTTACCTCTTTCTCTAGACGTGCACATGCACACAAAGCTGTGCAGGGTTTTGGTAACCTCACAGTAAGATGCAACACCCTTACGTTGGCTATACATACCTATCATGGCACACCCTGCTCTGAACAAATGACAGTCATCCATCGTGTCTAATCTCCCCATCTACGTGCACCTGCCTAGAGCAGCAGTCAGCACAATGCTGAGGTTTGTGCTGAACAGAATCCTCTTTTACATAGAAGGGCTAAGCTAAAGGAATTATTAAAGTGGCATTTTGGGTAAGATCTTACACAATTTCTGCTTCAAAAAGTCACTTTGCAGATTTAAGGTCCTGTATCACGAAAAAGGAGCCTTGCACCGTGCCAACAGGCATGCCCACCATGCCATTAGGCAGTTTGGAAAGGCCAGAGAGTCTCTGGGTCGAAGTCTGATTCGGGTAGGACAGACAGCTACTCCTGCTTCCCCTACAGCAGAGCTCTGGGCTTTCTTTAATGGACCAGCATGATATAAGATGTATGATTAGAGAAAGAGAAGTGGCCAACACTAACTTGAGCCATCCAACGTTAACCCTCTTGCATTTCCATTTCTAGGGAATGGACAAAACTAAACAAGCCTGGCATGTAACTTAAGGGTGGCCAAAAGCTCCTTTAACAACTGCATACCACTGGTGCTGGCCTTCACCCAAACTTTCCATCCACCTTGTGATTCAGTCATCTACATCTAGGTTAATACAATGAAAAATAACCTCCTGGGGGATTCTTAAATTCTTCCATTTGCTCTTAGTCCACCTAATGATTTCTGCTGCCTCTTTTCACAGTTGACTTGTAGTTTGATCTGGGAGTGTTCCCAGCAGCCAACGACTGATCTGCAGTTACCTTATCACCGTGCCTTCTGCTTGCCCTTGGTCCTCTCTCCAACACGATGGGTGGCAGTTCAGTGTACAACTGAATTGGGCCATCAGGCTCAATGCTGAGAGCTAAAGCTGGGAATATTGGAAAGGTGGAAATTTTATTAATCTCTGACAGTACAATGGAGATTACCTTGCTATTATCCTACTATTAGGAAAGCCAAGGTTTGTAGACAAAGACCAGCCACTGCTTTGTAACCACCTGACAAAGAATTTGAGTATTTCCATATTTCCAGCCATACTGGAAAAAACATGTAAATAAACAAAAATTTTGAGAAGTAGCATGGTTCACTTGACCACTAAGTTACAAGGTAACAACACTCCCAAAACACCACCAGCAGCAACAAAGGGGGGAAAAGGGGCAACTGCAAAGCAGCTAGTGTCTCAGTACCTGCCGTATTTCAGCAGTCTTCTGTAAACAGGTAGATTAATTCTTAGGGATTCTGTCCTAACAGCACCACCTCCTGGTGAACGCACCAAAAAACCCCAAATCAAAATCTTGTTAAAAATAAACCACCAAAAATTCTCTCTTAAGCTCTGCCAAACCAATTTCTAAATAACACCTAGTACATTAGAACCCATTTTAATCCTCTCCTTCTCCCTGCCCTTCAGTTTTAAGGATACCATTCCAACTCAGACCACATCTCTCATCCTGTCATGCTGCAATGGCTACAGTCCTTACTGACATGTGTTTGCCATCATCCGATACCTACAATCCAGAAATCTTGGCACAGACTTGCGATGAAGCACTGCAGCAGTTCCAAATCACTGCTCTTGCACAACAGCGCTGAAGACAGAACTAGTTGCTCTTAAACATTTCTTACTGCTCATTATAACACAACCTCACAGTTTCCTCTCTGTCTCTGTCACAATCAAACAACAACCGAGTGAGTTACTGCTGCTTTCTCGTTATCAGAGTGTCTTCAGGCCTCAAACAAGAACAAGACCTAACTTTACATGGAGCAAGATATGTTATCACTTTAAGTGGGGTTTAAAATACTCTGTTACAGTTCCATGCACGCATATTAAAATCTAAACATTACTGAATGTTGCACAATAGTTATGGAAAGGAAATTGGCTCTGTTAAAGCATGGATGCCAGCAGGTACTGACCTTTCAGGGAGCAGAGCCAGCAGAATGAAACTTCCAAAGAGCAAGAGCTCATGAGTACTGAGCGGTAAATACAGGTAAGTGACAGAGATAAGTGACTTTAAATTTAGCACCATATGCGAGACACTTGGTCAGCAAATGGCATCAGCTGTACACACTTTTATTGTTTCCCTTCTCATTGCAAAATCAGACTATTACGGACAAGCTTCTGGCACAGCGGAATCACCAGCTTGTATCCGTATTCAGGGCGTAAGTGGGCAAACTTTGCTGCTCTTCAAAGCTTTAATGTCCAGCTGCTTCCGAAGAAAGTCTAAGAGGAACTGACGTGCAAGGCAGATCTTCCCAACGCTTCAGTTTTGTACTTGTAGAGAAGAGTTACAGTCTATAAACTTAGCCTACACAGGTAGGAAAAAACATATTGTGTAAAACAAATGCACAAAAAAACCAAAAAGGTACTCCTGGCAAGGGAGAACACCTTGTTCCAATCAACCGCAACAATCTGTACAGCCAAGGAGATGTTCACAGCACTGGGGTACAGCTGTAGTTATAAAGAGAGAGGCTCAATTTCTACCTGGGACTCCTACGTTGGTTTCATAAACAATGCTGTTTAGTGTGCAAAATGCCACTTCAGAAATCAGAAAGGAAGGACTGCTATTAAAAACCTCCTGCTAATTAACTGTGGCTGTTTTTCCAGCTGCTGCAGACCCTGTCAGTGTGTTACCTGGAAGCCTGGGAAGAGGACACTGGTGTAACGAACACGATACGATCCACGAACGCTTAGATATTATTGAAGAGGTAAGAGCTGTTGCGCTGGCTCCTGGACCTTACCAGACCTCTGCCCCATCCTTTTCACCAAAGAAAGAAAGAAAAATGATGTTTCTAGACACTGTCCCTTCTTGATTTTATTCTATTCAAGGTCTGACTATTTTTTTTCAGACGTCATGGTTTGTAACTATCCGTAAAGCCATTACCACCAGAGACATGTGAGTCTAGGAAAACTGCAGAGTTTTAATGTTTTTCCCTGGTGTCTTAAGCACTCACAAGATACGTGTCCAGTGCTAACTATTCCCAGCTGGGCAGCTGCCGAACTGCACACGGTCTGTTCTCAAATGCCAACGTTACCTCTCTCCTGCTCTCGTCCCAGCCCTCTTCTTTCCACCCCATCAGCTCCTCTCATCTTCTGTGCAGCTTCTTTTCTTGGATGTGATGGTGGCTCAGAAATGAGAGAGAATTAAAAGCAAGTGAATGCAAAGCTCCCTCCAAGAAGTCAAATGATGGGTGATCCTTTATACAGAGGTGCTGTAATCTAACTCTTGCAAACAAAATTTTAATACTTCATGCCACTAGAGGCCAGCATAACCCAAGGAATATTTAAATCTGCAATGCACAATATAAATTAAATCAGCTGTTAGCATTATGGGACGTTAAATTTGCACTTCTGCTAACATATTTGGTACAACTCCTTCCACTTGACTCTTACGACTACCCCCTTTCTCCATCTGTCTCCCTTGTTTTCATTAGAAGGTAATAAAAACAGTGGAGCATCTAGAATCAGAGGTCAAATCACTCCTCAACATCATCAGTGAGACAACATCAAATATCCCCATCGCTCCGGGAACCCCACTTATAGACATTTTTGATGGTAAGTACTTAGTGGGATATAACCCAAATTGAAAACAGTGTTGCACATGTCATTACCAAATATGTCATCTTTTCTCCTCCCAAGATCTGAAATAATTCCTTTGTTCAGTTCCGTGCAGCTAAGGCCTCAGCTGAAATACTGGGTCCAGTTTTGAACACCAGGTTTCAACAACCACTAAAGAGGGAGGGGGAGAAAAGGGAAAAAACCTCCACCAAAACCCCAAAAATGCAGCCAAGGAGTTAGATACATGAGCTACACAGAAAGGTTGTTAAATTGGGGATGTTCAGTCTAAAGAATATCAAAGTAGCCCACCAGAATGAGTAAGGTTGCCACAAAGATGAAGGCTGTGTTTTCTTCCCCATCACAAAAATGAGTAAAACAAGACATAACGCAGCAAGAAAGACTCAAGCAAAACACAACGCAAAGCTTTCTTACGCAGACAGTGGAGCACAGAAATGATATGACTGCAGTTTATCCAGCACTGGAAATGTTAAACAAGTACCACGCCTCAGAACAGCAGGATGGACTAAGCAATCTCAAGGTCCCTTTCAGTTTTAAGATCCTGTGATTCTTTAGTTTCACGTGTGACAAATGAAACAAAGGAGGGCAAGAAAGTACAAAAATAAGTTACTGGAAGTATTACCATTTTGATATCTTAAATCCAATTTTGACACGCAAGCCCCTCACACAAAACATGCTCCTGAATAAACATTTTTGGAATAAATTAAACCACAACAGAAATTATTTGGATGAGACCACCTGTTCTGCACAGCTTCTTATAACACTCTGTCCTCTTCATTCTCTGCCCAAATATCAACAGTGCATTTAACAAGGTGAGAGATACTCCTGGTGGAAAATAAACCTCTTGTGGAAAGGTATGAGCATCCACAGACATGGTTATGAAGTCAGTTTTTTCAGTCTTGATTTTTTTGTTTGATCATTTAAGATAGCTGTACATGGGTACATATACATGCGCATACTAAAGTGCACTTACATGATAGAGGGTCGGCTCGAAGTAGGCAGCAGTAAAGTTCATGTTGGTTTTTAGTTCTTGCCATTGGCTGTATGGAGCTGGTCACCATGACTGATATGTCCTCACCAACTTTGTTATTCATTAAAACTCCCAGATTTCTGTGAGGGGCAGTTAATAGGTAACGATTAAGCTACTCTCCTGAAACAATAATTTATTTAAAAAAGAAAAGTATTCCAGTAAAGTGTTACAGTGAATTTAAGATGGAAATCCTGAGTCAACCTTGGCACATTTGCAGCACATCTATAGTAAGTACTATTCAGATGGAGCTTGCAACAACTGCCAAATGGCACAAGAATTGCAGATAGGACCTTCCTCCTGTGATTTGGTAGATCAAAGTGACAATTCCCCACTTGAAAGTAGCAGGATTCACGTTTTAATGTTTATGCACAAAGATTGATCCCGATCTTATAACCAGAAGTAATTACATCAGCTCTTCTCTATACAGATACCAGCTGAGCACTGTGAAGACAGAAGATGGCTGAATGTAACAGTACGGTTGTCATTAAAGGTTGCACTTCTGTTCATTTAATAAGCTTGTGTTTCCAGAATTTGAGCAGGGATGAACAATCCTCAGCTGTAGTTTGCTTTCCGTGTTCCTGTGCTTTATAATAAACAGATACTTGCTTTTAGACACTATTTCAAAGTTTTATATTTTAAATCTTTCAGCAGCCCTGCTTTATCAAAACCGCATTTCAAATACAGCATTCTCAGTAAGGAAACAAGATCAGGTGGGGTCCGGGACTAAAGCACAGGTAACAAACTTCCCTTTGTTCAAAAGTTTACATTGTAGATCAATGAAGATACACTTCCAGCTGCAATTTGCTCTCAAGATATGCTTAGATTGACAAAAAATGAGTGTATGGCATGGTCTGGCTTTGGACTTGGTCCCATTGCCACCACTGACTGAAACAGAAGTCCTACCTGCATGTCCTAGTCAGAATTTGTCATTTGCACACACCCCCACCTTATTCTGTAACCTTTACACTCCTCTCCCTTGCCGTAGCATCAACACAACCCAGAATTAATTCCAACATCCACCCCCTCAACACCCCCATTTTTCTTCCACGACAAACAGCAACACAACTTCTTCTAGGAAAAAGGACCTGCCTGACCTTTACAGAATGGAGAGTGTGCACGTGTGTGTGAAATAAGAGGAGGAGTTTGCACATTCTTGATTAACAAGCAGTCTATTTTCACTGACCTAGCTCCAAACCCTACCCTTGTACTTCTCTTTTTCTTTACATGTTTCTATTTTGAGAACGACGAGCTGAAGTGATGTCACCCATGCTAGCAGGGAATAAAAATTCAGAGTTCCAAGAGTCAGAGAAATTACAGCATGCAAAATGAAAATACTGAGCAATAACTACAGATTACATATATCATGTACAGACAATTGCTCATCAACCGCACACAAGTCCCAAACTCTTGCCAACACAACAATTTCTGAATAATTCTGTGGATTCAAGCAGAGAACTTCTATGGAAAAACTAAGTTACATAAACTGAATCATCACTCACATGTAAATCAACACGAACACCAAAAAGCACAGTCTGCAAAGAGTTAGAAGATAGACAGCTTTAATTTCATAATCTCTTCTTACATACATATATTTAAGGCACAATCCAAAACCTTAAAACATGGACCATAGAATCTTTACTACTGTCAACATTACTACTGCCTTGGGACAGTTGCCCTAGTGAGAATGAAATGTGGAACGCATCTTCCTTAAAAACAATCAAGGAAAGCAAACAGAACTTGACAAAACTTCTTTAAAACAGTCTGAATCGGACACAAAAACTCAAGGCTGTTCTCGCCACCTATCAGCGAGTAGGTTAGCATGAATTCAACTCTGCATACAATATATATAAAACTTGCATTAAAATGGCACGTAATGTTTACACAAAATAAAACCTCAAATCATACAACTGTGATTTTGTTCCATAAAACAAACATACCTCAGCATAATATAAGCAGAAAAGAAATAATGACCTGTCATTCATGGATTGCCGAGAGTACTACACAGAATCCTGAGCAGATGGCACATAAGCTTGATATTTGTATTTTTTTGGCATACCTACTTTTTTTTTTAACTGAAGATATATGCAATATTAGCTTTTAAAATGTAATTGCTTTGTGAGAAACAGGTCATTACATATTTACTTTTGGAGAAAAAAGATGCTTTTAAGTAAAAACATGAAAAAGCAACTTTTTTAAGAAAAGCTCAATGCTCCATTTAGTCATTTCCACCACATAGCTTGAGTAGGATTTTCCGGTAGTCTCCTGAAGTATCACCCTGGAAAGAAACCCAGAAAAAGAAAAGTTGAAGGCTTGTGCCTTGAAATAGAGGAAAAAGAAGCGTAAGCATCCTAAACACGATTTTAATGACCAAAAGAGATGAAGCCCAGGCTGAAAGAAAGCAGGTGTTAGTCTCTTAAAAAACCCCAAAACTACCCAACAAAAAAAACCCAGAAAAAATTAAAAAGCTTGCTAATCAGAAATCTCTCTAATACAAGCACACAGTAGAATCTGCTTCTTCCGTAACTGGAACCAAAAGTTTCCACAGAGAATATATTTCTTTAGCAAACTGAATTTGGTATACATGTTCAACTACGTACCTGGGAATAGTTCAATAAAAAAAATCTCACTGAATCTCACTGAAAAGCTGTCTTCCGGCAAAAGTTATGAAAATATGGAAAAATTAATACACAAATCCTTTTCCTTGCAGTCAATGTGGGTATTTTTCCACGGGCAGCAAGTGAAAATTTACTCTTTACTATGTTTAAGCATTAAAACCAATTCCCTGATACCAAGAGATCTAAGGGGGTTTTTTCCACAATGAGAGAACATCTCTTCCATGTTGTGGGCAGCGGAAGTCAGTATGGATGCACACACAAACATGCCATTAATCACAAAAGGCCCTGCTAGCTGAGTTTTGCCTGGTGCTCTTATGAGTAAAAAGTGTTCCCTGGGAGCTGCTCATTAATTAGTTTTGGCTGATGAAGCTTGCCAATCCTTTTCACAGATCAGTTTCAGCTAGCGCATTTATCTCATCCTTCATCTTCAGGTATGACTGAAAGCTGTTTTGTCCAGATCAAAGTTATTACAATAGTGACAAAGAGACACTTCAAAGGATAAAGCAGAGTTTACATACACATAACTGTGCATATGCATGCCCCATATTTATTGAAATCAAGTTTAGAATAGGTTCAGCCCATTAAATGGATATGGCCTGTTCCTGTTTCTAAACAGTAAAATTATTTTAATGCCAGATCAAAACAGAAGGGGGGGCAGGATACAGCTTTTCCACCAATGTCTCACTGTTTTTTGCTCACACATTGGTGGTTACAGGGCATGTAACTACTGTAGTAGAAGCACATCTTCACTCCAGAGTTACACACTTGGAAAAAGCTTCTGCTAGGTGATCCTCCATGGTGCACGGGCAGAAAGACCATATAGTTGCTGGTGGAAGACTCACATCAAGACTTTTTGGCGTATGCTATCCTTCACTAACTTTGCAGGATTCCTTCCAAACACCACCAAGTTGCAGCTGCTCAGTGTCAACAGCAGAGGGAATAAATAAGGGCTTAACAGATTCGGCACCTTCATTACAAGGTAAATGAAAGTGGCACCACTCACTCTCTGCCAGCTCTTACTACCCTCCGCATTAGCTAGGCATCCTCTTTACTGTTGCTACAGCTGTTGACAGCAGTAGTAAGGTGGATCAACCGCTAAAGAATCCGAAGTTTAGTCCACTTCCAAAATCTGGTACTTTCAAGAGAAAGAGGAGGCAATATTTTAAAAGCATATTAGGAGCTTTACCCTCTTTCAACACACGCATGAGGTAGAGCACCATAATTACCCAGCTGGAGGACTAAGTGGCTTCTACAAGATCACATACAGAGATTGGGAGAGAGACCAGACTTAAAACCAGGTCTCAAGCCCCTCTGGACCAATTTCCCTTTCTTGTCTGTCAGCTTTCTTCTCATCTCTAGCTCACCT